CAGGAAATCCTCTTGCCGACTTAAATAACCCGTTGAACGACTCTAACACATTTGTAATCAGAGTTTCGCAACATCTCCCACCATCCGCATGCAAAGTCCACTTTTCAGGGTCATGTCGCATTAACCAATGATAGGCTGCCTCGTCTTCTTGCCTGATAGATTCCATGTGCCTCCGAAATTTATGTTATTGGTGGTCTGTTGCTGCCATCCACATCAAATCATGCAGATCCTTGCTGGGATATGCCTTCTGGAAATTGGCTTTAAAGTGCCTCACACAGTAACGGTGATAGGCATAAGGTTCTTGCCATGCATGCAAGTTTTCTACAGAACTTAAGATACCACCGTTCCGATCAGATATTAGACAAATACAGGAACGTTGTTTGACAACGTGCTCTTTCAAGTGGTTCAAAAATAGTGTCCACGTCTCTTGGCTTTCATTGGCACAAATAGCAAAAGCTAGAGGAAATATTTGTCCATTAGCATCTACTGCCATGACTATCAATAGCTTGATATCGTACTTTCCATAGACATGAGTGTCGTCTATGGATATTACGGGTCGACAATGCGAAAAACCATCAATTGTTGGTTTAAACACCCAGAACACGTAATTGAATATATATTCTGGTTTACCCGAACTCCGCTCAAGCTTCCATTCAACAATCGTCCCGGGGTTAAAGTGCTGCAGTGCGCCATGTACCTGGGCAGAGCTGCAAATGACTTATCCCAATTGCCATAGACTATTTCAAATACTCGTTTGCGCCCGAGATATGCCTTTCTTTTGGTAACGGTATGACTATGTTCCTGGTGGACTGATGTAATGCACTATTTGATTTTATACCTTATGGACGCTTTGATTTGTGGAATAAGAACAAGAGAAATCAAGTCAATATCCAAGTTGAAGTGATTCCCGTTTAATGTGTCCATTTCGCATGTGTGGGTGAGAATGTATTTACCCACTTTCCACAGACCTGTCTTCTTCTTGCTCGCACGCAACATCCAATGACATGGCCAAAACCACCTGCGACAAACAACCTTATATACAACCGGTCTTGACTCTCATACCATCATCTCACGACACTCTTTTACGTTGTGCATTTTACAAGCCCTGCTTACGCGCGCTTTATCAGGAAAAAGCATGCCCTTTGCCAGCACCGTTGGTCTAGACTCATCCCACATTGCTGTTCGAATTTCATCAAAATCCCTTGTGAGAGCTTCCACATTCGGCATGTTTGGCAAGTTATCAAGGTAAGGAAACTCCCTTGAATGAAACGACACTTGGGACTCGTACACACTTCGTCTAGGGGGGTAGAGCATACTCTATGGTTGAATCAGGTCCTTCTTTCTCATCCTCCTCATCACCATCCTTACGAGGAAAGGGTGTATCGTCTCCAGATTCATCAACATTGTTGTCGTAATCACTGTTCTCTTTCTCACTCTGTGCATCTGCCAGATTCCGATTTAATACGTCGTCTTCGGGCAATTGAGTGAGTACATGTGGTACAACTTGCTCATTTTCACTACACAATCAACAAATAATATGCTACTGAAATTAATAAATACTTTCCATATAACTGTATCACTTCACTTACAAGTCGTAATGTAATGAAATTCTATGATGGACATTTTTATTTAGGTGATGACTACCTAATGGACCACCATGATCCAACACACCAAAACTATGCTTGGGTTCATAATTTGTAAAATTCATATCCGGTCGGTACCCCTATTAAATGTATGAGCGTTAATACAAATTCAATACAACAAAATTTATAATCGTAACACAAAGGAAAATTAAAGTTTACCACTCGTCTTGTGAATTAGGAAAAGCAGGGGGTGATAAGTTTAAATGAAGGAAAACTCTTTCATCCGGAACCTGTCCGGCAAAAACTGCTCCAGAATAACCACCCGATGACAAGGGGTTATCCGGAACATGTCCGGCAACCTCATTGTTGGAAACATCTTCGACCATGACGTACATATCCAGCATTTTGATTGCAAGAAATTCCCGGTATTCATCCGGAGTTCTCAGAAAATCCCTCAAAGTTTCATCATCGTAGATGTTTAACTCCGAGTAAAAAGCATGCCCTTGCGGAGTGACGAAATATGGATATCTTCCAGTTACTTTAAGTATCACTCGGTGTTTGCTCACACTTATTTTTTTGCATAACAACGATATCAATTTATCGTACTCCATTATAAGTGCTAATTTAATATGCCCCGTGGAGATAAACTATATCTCACTGAGTTATTCTCCATCACAACCTGAAACTCTTATTCTACGCTCTTCAGATATTACGAAAAAATGCTTGAGAATTAAACAATAAGAAAATATTGAATTGGATGAATCTTTTGTGAATGGATTTTCCTAAAATCCTAACGCCCTTTATATAGGAAATGTGCGAGCCCGAGAGTTAAATTTTTTGATGTATAGCGCTCGTTGAATATACGCTATACAAATTTCAATTATTGGTGGGCCCATAATTAGGGGTATAGCGTGCTGTATTTATACGCTATATATAGCGTGCAAATACAACACGCTATACCTATGTCAGTATATATAACGCCAAGTTACACCACGCTATACCTTAACGGCAAAAGTTACCGTTAAGGTATGGCGTGGTGTAACTTGGCGTTATATATATAAATGTAAATTTTTTTAGACTTATTTGTGTATCTTTTGTCCAAAAAGACAAGGCAAAATACATAAGTTGCCACCTGAACTATCACCCAAATCCCTGTTACACACTTTCCAGGAACGAATATTACTTTACACACCCAATCTTTCCAAAGTGTATCTAAGACGCACCATTTTTTTCTTAACCAGTTTTTCAGAATATGTGCAATATCATGCACCATTCAAACAATGACACGTGTCATTTTAAAAAAAAAAATTAAAATTACAATTATACCCCTCATCTTCCTCTAAACTACCATGGTCGTCTTCCTCCTCTCTCACCATCAAACACCATAGCTTCTTCCTCCATCTTTTACTTAATAATAAAGCCACCATTAATTAACAAAAATCACCAGAAAACACATTCAAAGCTCCATCTTTTTCGCTGAAATTGAATCAAAATTTTTGAGCTCAGATCCAACTCATTTTTCATTTCACTTCGGTAAAAGTTCGACCGCCATTAACTGCCATCGCCACAAGTCAACTATTTAAAAATCATCCATTAATAAAATTAAAGAATGTGCAAAATCTTGAGCTAAGCTTTAATGGTTGGAAAAAATTTCGAAAAATTCTCGCTTCCTAAAAATTTGACTTCGCCACGGGTAAAGCTCAAGTTAAGCTTCTCTACAACGAGAAGAGATATAAGAAATCGTGGTATATCTATTTGAGAAGAAGGAGATCGGGTGGTGGAGCTCAAGGAGTAGCTATGGCAGAATTTTTAAAAAGGAAGAAGATGACTCAATTTAAAATTTTAAAAAACTAAAAAAAAATTGACATCTGACATAAAATTCTTCTGTTCACGCGACTTATTTGTTGGAAAAAACACGCACTATCCACGTGGGCAAAGCAGTGTGTATTAGATACACTTTAGAAATGTTGGGTGTGTAAAGTAATATTCGTTCTTAGAAAATGTGTAACATGGATCTGGGTCATATTTCGGGGGTAACTTATGTATTTTGCCAAAAGACAACAAAAAGGTTCCGACTCTTTGCATGGTACGTACTATTACGAAGTGCGTCAGACCTTTTTGTACTCAAAAAATTAATAAAATCGCAGATGAAATGATGCGGTGTTTTTTGTAGTCAGTACTCAAAATGATCAATTGGGAAAGAAAAAGTAAAGAAAGAAAATATATGCAATCCCTATTTCCTTTTTATAACTCTATTTGGATGGACCATCAATGGATGAAAGCGCAACTCATCCCAACCCCACAACTCTCTCGCCGTCTTGTCGTTAGTGTTAGTTGCACGAGTAAAATGAGTGATAGAGAGAGGTAGCGCGCAAGGGAGATTTCCTTGGGATAATGGTGGTTTCGAGGGAGCTTTTCTTGAGATTTTAAGGTCGAAGGTCATTGTTTCTTGATGTAGGGTACCCCACTCATGGAATTTGGGAACCCTAGCCCCACTCCGAACAATAAGGTCCCTCAAATTAAAAGATATTTGCACAATCAATTTATATATAAGATAATTATAGGTAAATTTTTATCACAAATATTACTCTTTCCGTTTCAATTTATGTGAATCTGTTTGACTGGACACGAAGTTTAAGAAAAAATGAAAACTTTTGGAATTTGTGGTCGAAACAAGTCAAAAAGAGACCCAGAGTATTTGTGTGGTTATAAAAGCTTCTTATTAAGGGTAGAATTATAAGTTTAAGCTAAATTGTTACCAAATTTATAAAGAAATCATTCTTTTTGGAACGGACCAAAAAAAAATAGGTTCACGTAAACGGAAACAGAGGGAGTACTTTCTTCATTTTAATTTATGTGGCGATGTTGATTGACGTATAGATTATGAAAAAAAATATTTATTAATATTTCGGTTAAAAACAAGTCATAAACATTTATGTGACTATAAATTATTTCATTAAGAATAAAATTGAAAGTTTAAAATTAATTTATTTCAAATAAGGAAGTATGATATTTTAATAGATTAGACTAAAATGAAAAGTATACTCCATATTTGTTTTCACTCTCTCTGAATATAATGGTGGTTGATTCTATCTTAGAAGCAGAAGACCCCACCACTGTAAAAGTACACCAATGGCGATGATACGAACCTTTTCATGCATCTACAGACCCTTTTGTGTCCCTAACTACTGCATATAAATGATCATGTTTCCTCCCTTCCCTTTTTTAACTCCCACACGCTACATTCCTCTCTCATTTTTTTTTCACACCTTAATTCATCTATTACTTTCTCAATCTTTTTATATCACATTCTCTCACCACCCTTTCCCTTTTATAGGGAATAAAATTAAGGTGAACTCCACATCTTTCTTTTTACAGCTCTATCTCTTTTTGATATAACATTTGATGTCAAAAGACATGAATCTATCAGTAAATGGGCAATCTCAAGTGCCTCCAGGATTCCGTTTCCATCCAACGGAAGAAGAACTTCTACACTATTACTTGAGGAAAAAGGTTGCTTGTGAAAAAATTGATCTTGATGTTATTCGCGACGTTGATCTCAACAAGCTCGAACCATGGGACATTCAAGGTAATCATCAAAGTGCTCGTTANCTGCTGCGGGGTTCTGGAAAGCCACAGGTCGTGATAAAGTCATACACAGCAATTGTAAGAGAATTGGGATGAGAAAAACCTTAGTCTTCTATAAAGGACGTGCCCCTCATGGCCAAAAATCAGATTGGATCATGCATGAATATCGCCTCGATGACAACACCAATCCCCAAGAGGCCGTCAACGTAAGTACTCTTAGACTAAGTTATATATATTGACAGTATAGCAGAGAAATTCGAGAACTGTACAAGGTGAGTAACTTCCACATATTTTTAATTCCTATTTTCCAGGCCTCTGAATCAAGTAGCCCGGAAGAAGGGTGGGTGGTGTGTCGAGTTTTCAAGAAGAAGAATTACCATAAGGCACTTGAGAGTCCTCATCAGAGTTCATCAGCTGTTTCTATTATGAACTCAAGAACACTTATTCAGAAACCAAACAACGACGGCGTTCTAGATCAAATACTCATGTACATGGGAAGATCGTCATGTAAACAACAAGATCATGAAAACAAACACAACATCAACTTGGTCAACAACATCAATAACATACACTTAGATGATCATCACATGCAAATAAACAGCAATTCCTTCATCAACAGCAGCGGTAGTAGATTCCTACACCTTCCAGGGTTAGAGAATCATCATTCTCCGACGACCAACATGGATGATGACGTGTCATCTCTGCAACTAATCCAACAAGATTGCAGCTTTGGTCATGAGAATATGTTAACAGAAACTGAACCTTCTTCTGGTGCTGGTCCAAGTGATTGGGTAGCTCTGGATCGACTGGTGGCTTCTCAACTGAATGGCCATGTGGAAACATCAAACAACTTATATTTTCCTCTGCATAATAATGGGTTACAGCTGCGTACCAATGGGAGACCAAATGATGAGGACGACGCGTTCTCTCAATCTCAAGCTGCACATGACGATGATGTTGAATTTTGGAGCTATGCTCGATCTTCCTCATCATCACCCTCTGATCCATTATGCCACTTGTCGGTTTAATTCTAAGTATATACATAGACTTTTCTAGTACCAAAATAGGCCACTCTCCATCGTATATTTTGTAGAGCAGCACGTACCTATATATACTATAGTTTAAAAGACGTCATTATAGTACGTTAGCTTGATTGATACAATAACAGTACACGTACTTGGATAATATTTCTGACGGGAGACATTGTCAACTGGAATATCTTTTCCTAATAATTAAGGTTGTCTCCCTATTTCATCATTATGTTGTCTATGACTACGCGAAGATACTATCCAAGCTCTTTTTAATTTCCGATATGATTGCGTAAGATATGTATATGGATACACAACCCCCATATAATTTTATTTTTCTTATTGACCATAATTATTTTAATAGTGAGATCCCCATAAAATTCTGCACTTAATTTCTTGAAATTGATATACTTCGTAATTATTACCTTCCACTAAAAAAAAGTTCCAGCGTCGACCAATTTAAAAAAAAAAAAAACATATCAAAATAGTTGTCTTGGAAGAAAATAATAAACAAGACGATTTTCGAACGAAGAATTTATGTTGGGTTTATTGTAAAGCCTGAAAAGGTTTTGCACATGCTCAAAAGAAAGGCAAACATAACACTTTTCCTTTTAGTTTGTTAATTAGTCCTATGCTTGAGTTGTTATTTAGATTCTTTTTTTTCTCTCTCTTTCAGATGTGCATTTATAGAATGTCGCTGACCTTTACGTATTTCTGTTATGGATTTTGGTAGGCATCCACCAGATTGAAAAAAATAAAATAAAAATAAAGATGCAATAGAACAGATGACCTATTAAAAGGTTAAAAATTATAACCAATCAATTACACCTCAATTTCGATTAATTTGAATCAGCATTCAACTAATATGCATTACCTTAATTATACTCCATCTATTTGGTTCTATTCTATTTGGGGCATTCAATTCTGCTGGAGTATCTTTTACGGTAAATTATGTGTTTTTTAAAATGAGATTCTTTAAATTTTTAGTATATATCTGTTTGACCAAAAGATGTCAAAATCTTTATGGGCTAATCAATTAATGATGAGGAGAGGAAAATCTTAGCGAAACATAATCAACTTCAGACCATGAAATATATTACGCGATAATGAATAACAAAATAGAACGAATATTTTATTATTCTTGATGTTACAATCCTATCTTTGATAGAGAAAAAACAGTTCAGAAAAAAATCCTTTTTTGAGCATCCTCCTCTATATATAGTTCTCAGAACTTAACTGTGTTCTTTGACCAACGTGTTCTTCACGCGATGATCTAGACGTCGTTACTCGAGTACCGTTCTTACTCAGCATTCATCATCGATGATTGAACTGAGGTTGGTCGTGGTGTTTCTCGTCATTTATCCTCTGAGGCGAGACCCCAGCTTGGTCATCTACTGTGGTCAGATTTTGACCCATATAGTTAGTCCCTCCGTCCGTCGAGGTCGTCTCTTGGCAGACTCGGCGGACAGACTTTGTAGATTCGAAGGCTAGGAAAAAGTCTGATTGTTTATGCCTTGGACGAGGTCCTTAATTCGAGGCTACGGTGAAACACTTCAACGACGTCTTTGTTTAATCGCGTCTGTTTGGAGTCGAAACGTTGCAGTGATTTGAAGCATCGTTTACGGTTACTGCCATTATGTCACACGTTTTCTAGGGATTGAACCATTTCATGCCTTATCAATGCTAATTGGCGACTCTTGGGTTTCCCGCTTGGGACATTCATATCCCTATAAATAGGGGAAAAGCATCAATTCACTAGCATACTTTCCTGGTTTATCAAAAGGGTTTTGTGAATTTTCTTCTTCCCCGATACTTCAGATTTTTTATTCTCTCTTGTTGGAATTGGCATTTTTGTCTTCCCTCTTACTTCCTTTGATCATTCATTCTATTCGATTGAGTCAAATGGCTGGTTCTTCTTCCCGCGCTGACGATCTTGCCGCAGTTCTGACACTGGAAAACGATGTTCTTGTTCCCGGTGGGGTTGAAGTAGTAGAGGATGAGTAAGTTCCAACGGTAGCCAAGATATTACCTAATCCCGGGAAGCCGTGGATCGATTTCAATAGCCCTGCCGGAGAAGAACCGGAACCTGTCCCCTCTGTTATGAATGAGGCGGTGATTGCGGAGCTAAGGCTAGGTGGGGTATTCCTCACCACATCGAGATGCTGCCAGTGGTGGGAGATGATATCATTCATTTCAACCGCCCAGGATATTGCATGTTCTACGCATATCTGTTTATTGTGGGGTATACGCTTCCTATCCCTTCCTTGGTAGTAGATTTATGCCGTTTTTACGAGGTGTGTCCGGCTCAACTTTCACCGTACCTGTATAAACTGTTCCTTATGCTGCTCAAGTTCGCGGAGCTTGCCGGTCGGGAGATCACTCTAAAACACATGCTCAACATTTTTGCCCCTCAACTCATTCGTGGCACGATGATTCACATGCGCCATCGAGGGATGAAGAGTCTGGTGGTAAATATGGACGATAGAGACAACCGTTGTTTCTATAAAAACTACTTCTATGTGCGGACCGAGCATCTTGTGGCGGATTCTGCATGGTTCCCCGAGAGATGGAACTTCGCACGTAAGTTGTATCTTTTGTCGAAATAATAGTCGACCACTTTTCTTTGGGTAGTTATTGAACTATTTTTGCTTTTGCAGCCGCGAGACTACCCCTGTGCATGTTGATGATATCCGCGAATGGGTGAATGTCATTCTTCCTTATACAGCGGGAGTTTGCGAATGGTCGTCCTTCTATGAGAAATATGGACGTAAGCCCCTTACTAGTAAGTAGTAGCCGCATTTTTTGTTTTCCACTTTACAATTTGGTTTTGTTCCCTATACGGCTTTTATCATTATTAGGGAGAGTGCGGAGGGCGAGGGCTCCTCCACTTGTATTTCGCCGGCCGACGTCTTCCGCTCGGCCCGTAGCAAGGTCTGTTGTCCGACCTATGACGAGGGCTGCTCAAGTTGGATCTAAGGCCGCAGCCGTGTGCTCTGAAACTATTCCTCAATCTGGGGCTCCTACCCCTATTGCTTGCTCAACGGGGGAGTCTTCTTGTGCTGAGGACGGGGAAGGGCTGTCAAAGAGACGACGAGTGGCGTTCGAAATGGCTCCTTTAGTCGTGGTATGTTCAGAAGTCGGCATCCCCTTGTCGGAGTCTGAGATGGGAAACGATGCTAACCCATCCGCAGAGGTAGAGTCGGTCACTATGACCAACCTGTCGGTAGAGGCTCTAGCTGTTATGATTGACCAACAGGCCATTGCAATGGGGAGTCGGTATCCCGAGGTCGCTATTGCCACTTTGGGCGGGCCTTTATCCTCCGGACCGGGTCGTGCTTCTTCTTCGGCTGCGAAGAGGGGAAAGAGTGTCATGGTCTATGATTACGAGTCTGAATCCGATATTGATCCTGATAATGTGAGGATGTTCGAGGAGGGCCTTGCACGTTTGGTGGTACATGCGGGAGGCCCGTCCCGTATACTTGAAATCTCTTCGGAGATTAACCTTCTGGTGGGATACGGAAGACTTGGTTCCGTAATTCGACCTTCTGTGCTCTGCTGCCGAGAGCGAGGCTCTCCGGGACATCCGTGATATTGATTTGATACATGAAGTGGTCGTTATGGGCCTGAGGGTAAGTTTCTCCTTTCTTTTATGTTCTTTTAATCTTTGGCAACCTTGGCCTTAACCAATCTTTCCATCTTTCAGACATATGTGGTAGAGATCGAAAGTGCTCGTAGGGCTGACACTCGAGCAAAAACTTTTCTGACGATGTTGGAGAAGTATCGGCGCTGCTGCAACAAGTGTCGTGAGATGCACGAGCGGCTCAGGGCGAACGCCGGTGATCGATCTCTTGGTGAGGAACTGGAGAAGAGGGATCAGGAGATGATGCAGGCTGTTCGCAGGAGTAGCGAGCTCGAGGTGCAACGTCATGCAAAGAATGAAGAACTTGAATTGGGCAAAGGGGTTGCTGCAAAGTATGAGCATCTTCAGGCGAAGGTGCGATCGATACAATCCGAGATAGATCATAATGCCATCAGGGTCGAGGCGATGAGTGCGGAATGGATGGGAAAGTTAGTCGAGTTAGAGAGAAAGGTTTCCGGGTTGGAGAATATCGAGAGTTCTTGGGCGTCGGCTTCGGCGAGGGCGGCAGCTTGAGAGGACACTATCTGCGCCCTTCAATCTGAGTAGGAATCTAAGAGGGCGACGGCGACGTTTAGGGAGGCGAGGCTCGAAGAGCGTATTAGTAAAATTGATTGGGAAGCTTCAAGCTTAGGAGATAGGGTCGTTATTTTTTAGGCCGAAAAGGCACTATTACTGGCCCATGTCAAATCTTTCTCTGCCGCTGTTCCTCGCCATTTGCACGAGCTTTGGGTACATGTCTAAGCCCAGCGGGACATATATAAGAGCTTATGGGAAGCGGGTAATGTTTATGAGGCCGCTTATGAAGGAGCTCGGGCGAAGGCGCGAGAGGCTCGTGCTAACTGTGGATATGTTCCTACGATGGCGGAGGTCGACGAGGATGTTGATGTTGAAGAGGGACTTCCTGGAGATGGTGATGAGGAGGACGGCGGTGATGACGCCGAGTGAAAGAGTTGTTATCTTTGTTTGTATTGTTTGTTGTTCTTTCTGTTTTTGCATTTTTTTTTGTGCCGAACCGGTTTTAGCCGTGTATAATCTGCGGTTATTTGCAAAACTGTTTAAATAAAGGAGCTTTCATTGTTATACGTCATTTGTATCCCTTCCCCTTTTACTTTACATATTTTTGGCGTAAATTTTAGGATCTTTGCAAGGCGGATATCTGTTTATTTTTGGGGGAACCAATTTTAACCAGACTGAGCGGGACCTTGTTGTGAGTCCTAATGGAGTCCCATTCGATTCGCCTATTTGGGGCGGAATTAACTTGGTGACTTATTGCTTTAGATGGATCCGTCTTTGACTCAACTGAGTTGATGTAATTTCGTTGTTTTGGACGAAGTTAGTCTTAACTTGAGTCGTTCATGCGGGATCCAACTGTCGCTAATTTGGGCGAAGTCGTTTCTCTCTTTTTTTTTGTCAATTTTCGATAAGTAGAAGGAGAAAAGGCGCGACGCTGGTTGATAGCTGCAAAGGCATTATTGGGCTCGAATGAGTTCGAACTTTTCCTTTTGCGATGGCTCTTTGTCGTAGGGGTGTTGTTTTAAGCTGGTCGAAATATTAACCCGTTGCAGTTCGAGCGAGGTCAAACTTTTCTC